CTAGTACGGCTCCTATGTGGGTCAGGTGTTCGGGCCAGGAGCAGCTAAAAATGGCTATATCATCCAAGTAGGCGCAGGCATACTCCTGAAACCCATCTAGTAGCCGATCTACCATCCTCTGAAAGTTAGCTGGGGCATTCTTCATCCCGAATGGCATGACCTTAAACTGATACAGGCCAAACGAGGTGACAAATGCCGACTTGTGGATGGCGTCCTCGGCTAATGGAATTTGCCAGTACCCCTTGCACAGATCTATTGTGGTGAGGTACTGGCCTCTGGCCATTTTGTCTAGGAGCTCTTCTATCCGGGGCATAGGGTAGGCGCCTGAGGTTGTTTTATCGTTTAGCCTCCAGTAGTCTACACAGAAACAGGTCGTGCCGTCCCGTTTCGGTACTAGTACTACCGAGGAGGCCCAGGGGCTGTCAGAGTGTTCTATCACCCCTAACTGCATCATTTCCTCAATTTCTTTCCGCATATTTTCTTTAACTGCTTCGGGTATGCGATAGGCGGTTTGGCGAAGGGGGGTCTGGTCTAGGGTTTCAACTTTGTGAGTGGTTAACGGACTGTACCCAGGTAGGTTGGAAAACGTGGCCCCCTTGTCCTGGATTAGTCTTTGGACCTGGGTTCACTCCTGGGGGTCTAACCGTTCTCCTAACTGTACTTCTCCCAGGTCTCCGCTCTGGCCCTCTTGGTCTAGGAGATCTGGGAGTGGCAAATTATCATAATCTTCAGTGGCAGGTGCACAGATCGCGGTTACCTCTTCCGTGCGCTCGTGGTATGGCTTGAGCATGTTCACATGGAGCATGCGCTTGCCTCCAGTGCCTGTGACCGCACCGATCACAAAGGTGGTATCACAAACCTGCTCTACCACCTTGTATGGGCCCTGCCAGGAAGCCTGCAGCTTGTCCTTGTGGACAGTGTCAATCCATATCTGCCAAGTGACCCTATGTAGGGGGAACAGTCTCTTTTCTGCTCTGTGTCAGTGTGTATCATGATCTCTGAGGACAGGTGTCAATCCATATCTGCCAAGTGACCCTATGTAGGAGGAACAGTCTCTATTCTGCTCTGTTACAAAAAAGGATATGCTTACTATATGATACACTAGAAAAACACACCCTCAGAGAAGTGTACCTCACACACACACTATAAAGAATAAACACAAGGACGTATATATAAAAACCCAAAGGTGATATATACAAATAGAGGGTGGTTGAGAACAATACAACCTGAATATGGCTGAAAATGAACGTGGAATCTATAAAATAGCAAAATACAAAATATAGTGAAGTAAGTTAGGCAAAATTGGATTTGCACATGGTAGAAAACTTACAAGAAGGGAGTAGTAATCACGCCTGTCATCCTGTCAGGGGTACTTTCCACATTGGAGACCGAATATATATGGCGAGGACTGACAATATCACTTTTTCTTCAGCTCAGGAATAAAATATCCCTTTTTCCTTCAGAAGAAATCAGAAGTAAGACAGCATATCTCCATAATGAAGTAATGGCCGGGTCTCCAGGTGAAAGTAGAGAGAGATCCCAAAATGGAGGTACACAAAATTAAAAAAATATAAAATAAAATAAATAAAAATAACAAATGGACTATAATAACAGCTGTATATTAGCATAAAAAGTCCAAAAGTAGTATCCAACGCGTTTCGTCACTATGGTGACTTCCTCAGGGATATAGATGTGTTGTAATCTTCATGGTTTATATATCATGCCAATTTTCAAATTCGCGGGGAAATTCACATGTTACTTCCGGTTTTCGGCCCTTAGACTTCCTGCGTTCCACCTTGGAACGCATAGCGTCACTTCCGGTTTCCGGTCTTATCCAATCAAGTGGGCTTCTTGCGTTTCACCTTGGAACGCATGACATCACTTCCGGTTTCGGATCTAATCCGATCGAGGGGAGCCCTCTTCTGCTAGCACTAATAGAAGTGCAGCAGAAAAGGCTTCCCCTCTGGGGCAACAATCAGTTCCCATTATACAAATATGGGACAGAAAAAGAAGTCTGTATGCCATGAAAATTATAAAGCATTAAAAATCTGCATAAAATAAAAAAGAATAACTATAAAGGACTAAATGGATGTTATATAATATGGACCAGATTAAAACATGTCATATTTAAAACATGACATGTAAGACATTATAAAAAAGGAGTAATAGTACAATGTATATTCTGTAATATCAGAATGCATGATTGTTATATACATGAAACCCCAAAAGGGTACAAATTTGAAAAAACAAATGTATAATATCATTGTAGCCCAATCCAATGTACAATGGGAACAGATGTACAAATATTAATAATAACTGAACATATATCAAAGATAGTATATATATATATATATATAGTCTACAAAATATATATAATTTTTTTTTTTTTTTTTGCATAATATAGCACTCTCAAATACAATAATTAAATAAATACAATTAGATAATATGCAAATATAAAGTATAATGAGTTCAACATCCATCTATAAGATAGAGATAAGCATTAATATCCATATAGTACATATAATACAATATATCCAGATGTGGAACTTATATAGGTAAATATAGACAAATTTCAAACTACTATCAATAAGACCAGGATATAGAAAAGAGAAAAAGAAATTTTGGAAGAAGGATAATTATTGGATTAATTTGTATATCATTAAATTAGACCAGTTAAATCAATATCTTGATTTAAACCGGTTTTAAGTGTTCTTAAATTGTATATCCATTCTGCTTCTTTTTTAATTAGCTCTTGCATTCTGTTACCTCCCCTCCAGTGTACATCTATCCTATCGATTCCAAAGGCACAAAAGGTGGACCATTCAAAAGAACTACATGTGTTACAGTGTCTAGGTACACTGTGATCCATTTTTTTGTTTCTTATATTAAGGAAATGTTCTCTGAACCTAATATGTAGTTGACGGGTAGTCCTACCTACATATTGTGCCCCACATCCACATTGGAGCAGATATATGGCATATGTAGTGGTACAATGTAAAAATTTTTTAATTTGATATGTTTTTTGGGTGTATGTGCCTTTGAAATCGACAATCTTTTTGTCTAAGTTTATACATGTGGAACACTTTCCACATTTATGGAAACCTGGAGTTTTTGATGATTCCAAAAAATGTTTCTTTGGTTTATTAGTATATAAAAGGCTGGGGGCCAGTTGAGATTTTAAATTATCGGCTTTCTTATATATGACCAGGGGTTTGTTTGGTAAAACCTGGCCTAGCACTTCGTCCTGTTTAAGGATTGCCCAATGTTTTTTTTAAAATATTTTCGATCTTTTTTGCATGTGTGTTGTATTTTGTTGTGAATGCAAATTCGAACTTTCCTTTATTGTGATTCCCTTTTTGTCTATCTATTAGAAATTCAGATCGATTCTTTGTTTTGATATTCTGTATCTCCAGATCAATTCGTTTCTTATTATATCCCTTCTCCACATATCTATTTTGTATGATTCGAGATTGCTCTTCAAAAGAATGTGTAGTAGAGCAATTTCTTCTCATACGGATTATTTGTCCCTTGGGGATATTGTCCAGCCATAGTGGATGGTGTAAACTATTGTTTTTAATTGCAGTATTGCAGTCGGTTTTTTTTAAAAAATGTCTTAGTTCTTAATGTGTTTTCCTCGACATATATAGTCAAGTCTAGAAAATCTATTGATTCGTGATGTATTGAAGAAGTAAATTTTAGATTATAATCATTTTGATTGATGTCCTCAATAAAATCCGTAAGGCTGGTATGATTGCCTTCCCAAATAATAAGCACATCATCTATGTAGCGTCGCCATAGGACAAGGTTCCCCCCAAGGTGGGATCCCAAGGTGACATGTTGCGACTCCCAATGGGCCACATAAAGGTTGGCAAAACTTGGGGCGAACCTCGTCCCCATGGCGACACCACATAGCTGTAAAAAGAAGACTGAATCAAACCAAAAAAATTTTTTTGTCAATACAAACTGAATACACAAAACCAAAAAATCTATTTGTTGTATGCATAGACTATTCTGTTGGGTCAAAGTATCTTTAATAACTTCCAATCCCTTAGAGTGAGGTATGTTTGAATATAGGGAGGTAACATCAATTGTAGCCAGTAAATAGGAGGACTTCCATTCGAAGGTCTGTAGATCTTGTAAGAGATGCTTAGTATCTCTTATATAAGAGGGACAGAAAGGTACAAATGGTTTTAAGAAGGCGTCTACATATTCCGAAAGATTGCAAGTGAGGGAGTTAATCCCACTGATGATAGGTCGACCTGGGGGGGAGGTAAGGCACTTGTGGATTTTGGGTAAAAAATAAAAAATGGCTGTTTTACAGAAAGGGTTAAACATAAACTTAAATTCGTCTATTGAAATTATATTGTTGTCTAGACCTTGTTGTAATAATGTTCTAAGTTCTTGTAAAAAGATCTTACTAGGATCTTGTTCTAATATTTTATAAGTGACTTTATCTCCTAGAATATGATACGCCTCCTGCATATAGTATTCCCTACTCATAATTACAGTGCCACCTCCTTTATCTGCCTCCTTGATCACTAAATTGTGGTTTTTCTTAAGATTTTTTAAAGCTTCTCTTTCTTTGATAGTGAGATTGTGTTTATAATTTGTGTTTTTAATCTTATCCAGATCAGTTTGTACGAGGTCATTGAAAACCTCTAGAAACTTCCCTCTTGCAAAGGAAGGGTAAAAATTTGATTTATTTTTTAATTTGGAATGTATAATGCCTTCAAAGTCATTATTTTCATTTTCGTTTTCATTTATTATGTCTAAATTATTTGTTAAATTGGGGTCTTGGATCACATTTGAGCTATCTTGAGTTCGTTTTTCAAAGAAACGTTTAACTGTAAGTTTCTTTAAAAATTTCTGATTATCAAGAAATAGGTCAAATGGTTTTATTCCCATAGTTGGGGCAAATTTTAAACCTTTATGGAGCAAAGATAGTTCTTGTTTTGAAAGAGTTACTCCTGAAATATTGAAAATACCCTCAGAATGTGGGTCTAGTGGGATTTGTATGTCGCCTTTTGGGGTGGTGTATTGTCTTCTTCTTCTAATTCTGTGTATAATCTCTTTTTTCTGGGAGATTCCAAAACTTGGAACCTGTTGCGGGTGTTGGGATATTGGTTTGGATGTCTTTTCCTTTGGTCTAGCCCCTTGTCTAAAAAAGCCGAGGAAGAGGAAAAAGGTTCCCTATCTGGTCTAGGGGATGAATGAGAGGAATATTGATCTCTAGGGTGAAACTGTCTAACCGGATGTCTCTTTGGTTCCTGTATGAAATCCCTATGATGGGAATATTCGACAGTTTTTCTAGAGAGAACCCCCTGTTTCTTATTCCAGTCTGCATGTCTTGTAGTATTTCTGGACCAATTTCTAATTTTTCCTGATTTATAATCGTCCTGATCTCTTCTGAATTTTGAAGACTTTGTGGTAGAGACTTTATCATCTACAAAAGTGATTTTGTCTTTAAGATTTTTATATTTAATTTCAATTGTTTTAGTATCTTTATGTTTAGTAATTTCACCTTCTAATGTATTTATCTCATCCTCTATATTTTTTAACGATCTTTTTTGGAAATCTATCAGGCTTTGCATGTATTTTTTAGAACAGTCATCACTAGCTTGTGACCATTCTTCCATTAGAACCTTATCTTCTACTCCATAAGCGGGCATTTTTATAATTCGTAAACCTCTGGGAATTAAATCAGAGGCAAGATATTGTTCTAATGACGTAATCTCCCACCATTTTCTGGTTTCCTTCTCAAGTAAATTTTCCAATTGAAAAAATTTTTTTGTGAGCATACTATCAACATCATTAGATTGTTGATGGAATAGTGCATTGATTTTTTTACGCCGTTCTTGGCGAAATTCATGATATACATTATGTGTAGTCATATTAGTGAAATATAGTAAAGCAAGTGAGGAACAAGTGATAAAGATACAAAAAAGGATATGCTTACTATATGATACACTAGAAAAACACACCCTCAGAGAAGTGTACCTCACACACACACTATAAAGAATAAACACAAGGACGTATATATAAAAACCCAAAGGTGATATATACAAATAGAAGGTGGTTGAGAACAATACAACCTGAATATGGCTGAAAATGAACGTGGAATCTATAAAATAGCAAAATACAAAATATAGTGAAGTAAGTTAGGCAAAATTGGATTTGCACGTGGTAGAAAACTTACAAGAAGGGAGTAGTAATCACGCCTGTCACCCTGTCAGGGGTACTTTCCACATTGAAGGTCGAATATATATGGCGAGGACTGACAATATCACTTTTTCTTCAGCTCAGGAATAAAATATCCCTTTTTCCTTCA